CTCCATCTCACCCCACTCCATCCCATCCCATTCCATCCCACCCCATTCCATTCCATCCCACCCCACCCCACTCTGCCCCAACCCACCCCGCGGCGCCCACGCCTCCACCACCACCACCACCTCCTCCTCCCCCCAGACTTCGTGGTGCACCAGGTCCTGCCCTTCCAGTCGGTGTCAGCCGAGCCCTTCACCTACTCCAGCGACCTGTACGTGGCCCTGGCCCAGCCTGGTGCCAGCACCTGTGCCATCCTCAAGTGGGACTACGTGGAGCGCAGGCTGCGGGACTTCGACCGCATCCCTGGTAAGACCTCAGGGCTTGGGAGGGGGGTGGGTTTTCTCCCCCCACCTCCTGCCTGTGACCCGGTGTTGCCCACCAGCCCACTCGGCCGTGCACTGCAAGCCCATCGTGGCCCAGGAGCAGCTCTACGTGGTGGTGGCTCAGCTCTTTGGGGGTTCCTACATCTACCGCTGGGACACGGCGGTCGACAAGTTCATCAAGATCCAGGACATCGACGGCCAGAAGACCAGGAAACCCAACGACATCGAGGCCTTCCAGATCGAAGGGGACTGGTATTTCGTCATCGCCGACAGCTCCAAAGCTGGTTCCACCAGCCTCTACCGCCTCGACCAGAACGGGTTCTACTCCCACCAAACCCTCCACGCCTGGCACCGCGACACCGACGTGGAGTACGTGGAGAACGAGCTGAAACCCCGGCTGATCGTCTCCAGCAGCTCCCAAGCCCCCGTCATCTACCAGTGGAACCGGGCGCAGAAGCAGTTCGTGCTGCAGGGGGAGGTGGGGGAGATGCTGGACGTGCAGATGGTGAAGCACTTCAGGGTGAGGAAGGAGCAGTTCCTCTGCCTCAGCCGCTACATCGGCGACTCCAAGGTGGTGCGGTGGGAAGGGCAGCGCTTCGTGGAGCTGCAGACCCTGCCTTCCCGGGGCTCCATGGTGATGCAGCCCTTCCTGGTGGGTGGCAGGCAGTACCTGGCCTTGGGAAGCGACTTCTCCTTCACCCACGTCTACCTGTGGGAAGAGGAGAAGCAGAAGTTCCTCAAGTTCCAGGAGCTGTCGGTGCAGGCGCCGCGGGCGTTCCGGTACGTGCCCGCCTCGGACGTCCAGCTCCTCCTGGCTCCCAGTTTCAAGGCCAACACCTTGGTCTACAGGCACGGGGTGG